TATCAGTACGCCCACCAGAGCGTGTATATCTGAAAATAAAAGCTTTGTTCGATAATGCACAAAAAGTGGCTGTGCTCATCAGAGTAGAATTGAACTACCCCAGTAGTTCCCAGAAACTAGAATTAAACAAGAGCTGAAAAGTACATACACATAACAAAACAAAAAAAAATTTAAAATTCTGTGATTAACCCCCTTATTTCATGCTAGGATACTGTAAACAGCTATAATTTTGTGGGAGACAAAATTTTTGAAATTTTGCAAGTCATATCCTCGGGGGCAGAGCTACATCATAAGACGTTCCACGTTGCTAAGACGAGCACCACTGTACCACGTATTTTCATGGGCTCTGCGTGCTGCTGAGAAACGCGGAACGCCGAGCTGGTGAAAATTTGAGAAATTAACAGGAACTCCAAATTTATATGCGTAACACACGCAGGGGTAATCTTGTTACACTGTTCAGGGGAGTCTCAACAACAATCCCAAAGTACCGTTTTCTGAGGGTTTTCGGCCATTGTTTTCACCGTGATGGTTGCCATACCCGGGAATTATGCAAATTTTGTACAATAAAATCATCAAATAGTGAAAATTGTTAGCAAAGAAAATGATACTTTATCAAATAATTTGTTTAAACACATTTCAAATTAATTTTGAATACATGATATGCAAATTAACAGTCTCACTAAAAAAGAATGTTTTCCCAAAATTAAATTGGCCCTTGCGGCAATTATTATTTTATGAAAACATAAATTTGAATTGACATGGATGTTATATATCACACATACTAGAAGCCATATTCACTCATCTCTAAACATTAGACTGTCGTCATATCTGAAGGCATATGTTGTCAAGTGAGGGGGCCAATTTAGACAAAGTCCATATTCAGTAGGAATGAGTGTAAGTGACAACAAAGATTGCTCCATTTAACAGTTTTTCCCAAAGAGTTTTGTTACTGCCAAATTTCAGTAAATTCTTCTCAATTTTTTTTTATTCTCTCTATTTTTAATACTTGGTCAGCATTTTAAGTAGACGCCCCTCCATCGCAAAAAATAAAAATTAACCATGGCAGAGAAAACACAATATAGTTACAGTAAGTTTTCATCAACAGATACAATAGAAAAGAGAATACATCAGAAAGAACAGTGTACACCTATTATAGCGAGAAAAGTAGATTGGAAGTAGACTCAACACATCGCTGTATAATAGGTCTACCTGAGACTCCTGATGCTGTCTTTTCTCAAGCTTCTCAAGTTGTTTAGCTTTCTTCGCCGACATCTTCTCCTCCAATTTGCGCTTCTGTCTCAGTTTATTTAATGTAAGACTATTCTCAAGTTTTACTAGTTGTTTTTCGTGTTCTTGGAGTATCTTGTCTCTGTCCGCATTTGACATTACAACTTGCGTTGCCATCAATCGTCTGTCAGAATTAAAATAATTGAAAATAAAATAATGTTAATTAGGTGAAAAACAGTTTTGTTTCTCGTTAAAGCACGGCATAACCATAAAACATAGACTTTATTTTGACATCATTGCTTAGACTAAGATTACTGTACTTCCCCGATCATAAGCCCCTCCCGAGTTTGGTTCCCGCTTTTACGAGAAAACTCGCATTAATTTCAACATACGAACAGGCAAACATACAGAAAATGGTTTCACCTTTGCTATTCTGTTATTTACCCAGGATGAACTCTGATGTTGCAATACTGAATTAATCCATATTTCTTTTGAGTAGACCCCCCAAAAACATTTTCTTTCCTGAGGTGGTCATCAAGTATAAGCCCACCCCCTAATTTTTCTGATTTTACATGTTCAGGCCCCTGGGCTTATGATCGGGGAAGTACAATTATTCATGTAATATTCACGACTGAATGAAAGATAACGACTCACCCCACCATCTGCTCTTCGTGTTCTCTGATCTTCTGTTGCTCTTCTTTCTCAACTTCTTTTCTTTTAGCCCACTCCTTTCTGTTCTTCGCTAAACGTTTCTGTTGAGTTAAGTTTACAAGTATGATAAAAAGAATTCAAACTTCAAAAAAAAAATTCCTAAAATCATAATATTGTTTGATGGTAAATTTTCTCAATAATATCGCTACTTATTCATTGGATGGATTCATAAATGAAGAAACAATAATAGGTCATCAAACTTGTTTCAACATTTTATTATTTTTAACATATTGTTGTAAAGTAAATTTACATGTACCAGCATGTGCCACAATAAACTGATCAATCTCCCCTACAACATTCCTAGAAACATGTAGTGTTTGTTTTGACTTCAGCACTTAATTTCCATCTTTTCAATTCAATTTTTCAATTTTGATTCAAAATAAAGCCAGATTTCCAGAAAAAAAAATGTGTGAAATATGGAAATGCATTCTGCATTTTATGATGGTAATTTTTTATTTGATTGCAAACATACAATTTTAGTTCAAATTTGAGCTCCTCATCAAATATAATGAAAAGCTGTTAAGCAAATGAGTGTTGATTTCTGATGGTTGAAAGCAAAGTTATAACTAACACCTCTGGCAATGTTCTAGACAGGCAGTCTGGGCAATTTATTTCATTTTAAAGTTTAAATGAAATAAAAAATGGAGGTGTTAATGCAAAATCCCCTGTAACAGTGATGGTTTTTCATTTTTTATTATTATAGTTTAACTGAAAAAAATCACCACAGCTGGGCCAGTCTAGTAATGTTCCTATAAACATTACAATGTTGCAAGGAAGAATGGTATTTTTCTGATCAGTTTATTTTGGCGCCTGCTGAAATACAAAATTGAAGATCATTCTAATACGTCTTTAAATAAAACCTGACATATACATATTCTTTAAAATGTTCAAACTACAAAATTTAAATTTACATAATTTTTACCTTCAGAATTCTTTCATGCTTAGATCTTTCTTCTTCTCTAGTCTCAAGTAATTTCTCAAGATCTCGTTCGTGTTGAGCCATGATTTCATTTTTCATCTCTTCATCTAGACCAGCTGCAGAAAAAAAACCAAAAAAAAAAACCTTGGAATAGTGGAACATGTGCAACTTTTTTACTGTGATTTTTCATTCAATTATTGTAGATTTTTTTAGAATTTTGGGTGGAAAAGACTGAAATTGAATTTCAGCAATGTTAACTGTTAAACTAGTATTTGAAGGTTTGTTTATTGACAAGCACCTAGCACCTGTGGACTACTAAAGGAACTGGACTGTTTTTGCATTCATTTGTAGGAGATTGAGCTGGACAACATGTGTATTTTGGGTGAGAATTTGATTACATGAATGTATATGATTTTTGAAAATTGAAACTGCTAGTATTTCTATCATTGAAACCCTTTTTGTTTTGTTTTTGTAGAAATAGAACAAAAAATTCTAACATTGTCATGTATGGAAATTTTAATTGCTGATCTGAGACTGTAACAATGGAGTGAGCCAAAGCCGTCACATGGGTCACGTTTGACAATAATTTGTACAAATGTATGTACTGTGACATATGTGTGACAACAAGTGCGGCAGTCGTTGTGCCGCATCCTGTTGGATGCAGGATTCATAGCGACGTAAAATACATTGTTTGTTTACATTAAATTTGAACACACACTGCAAGATAACCACCACGCTTTAACAAATCAGAAGTTCCAACTAGAACACACTAATACACATACTGTATTTGCTTTATTAAGTAACACAGTTTAGTCTACAGTTAAAGGGGCACTTCCAGTTAAGCCTAATCTCACAACAAATTTATTTTCTGGATTAAAATGACAATGGATAACAAAAGATAGATTAACTTTGTAAACAACATAAACAATAGTGTCCCATGATTCTTTGGTGCAATCCATGGGATTGAGCGGTTCCCTTTTAAAATAAGTCATATTTCAATGATCTTGCAGTTCTTGGGTTTACATGCGCATATCTACTAATACACTACACACAGTTATGACAATATATCAATCAAGTAATTCCAATTAATCACCAACAAGGGTCTATACTGCATATCTGGACACGAAAATTTAGCTTGAATAACAAATCGTTCTTGATGCATCCAACATACCAAAATGAAGCAGCTATTAATTTTTAGTTGTCAAAATAATGTAGCTACATTTTTAATGTTTTTGTTTTTTTAATTGTGTTGATTTTGGCACTAATTATAATTATTTATAATATTAAGCAAGTCCTGACAAATATTTATGCAAATCATAACAATTTCAATATAACAAATGTACGTATCGAAATCCACACCTTTGTTTCCAAGTTCTTTACATAGTTTATCGCTACTATTCTTAATATCATGCTGTACTTTCTTGACGTGCTGTGCCCTGACTTGCTCCAATTCTTTAGCGGCATCTTCATCGAGTTGGTTTTCCAGGTCGTTCAATTCACCACGCTGTTGGGATAAGAGATGTTCTTTGGCTTCAATGTAGCCTTGCGGATCTGTACAAAAAAAAAGTTATGAATCATGAAATTTTATAGATGGCAAAGCTATGATAAGCAGATACATGGTCATGTGATACATGGTTACAACCATATATGGGAACTCATTTACATAGATGTATCAGGTAATTGGTGTACTTACCAACATTACCGTTTTGAGATTTAATTTTCTGTTTCTTTTCCAAATCCGCAAGTTCTTGTTTGTGCTCACGCTCCTAAGAACAAAAATTATGATACATGCGATGAGTACATAATATAGCTTTAAAGTTTTAATTGCCACTTCTGTAATAATTGTTATAATAATGTGTCTATAATACCAGCAACCATAATGTTTATTTTGTTTGAGCTTCACAATTCAAATTCAATTCCAGTGAAAAGTAACCAATTTTATTTGCAGATACATTGACAAAAAATGACAAAAATTTGTTTAATTTTGCGATTCACTTGACCTTGCCAAATACATTTAATCTTTTCAGATAATTCAAATTTACCTTCTGTTCAATTCTCCTTTTTTTCAGTTCGCTTAATCGTTTATGTAATGCCTCATCCTGCCGGGTTTGCTCATTGTCAAATTTCTTCTTCAACGCCAGAAGGTCTTTCTGAATCCTCGCCAGCATTTCCTCAGCTTGTGCTTCAGTCAGTCTCTCATTTTTTGCTAAAGTCTGTACCATTCCCATCTGCTGAGTTGCCATGGTATTCAGCACATCTCTGTGGTAGTCTTCTTGATCTTCCTATGGTGCAAAGAAAA